TTAAACGGTGTTTTTCATTATTTTTTTATTAGATGGAGAATTAAAAAATGAATATTTTTTTATATTTACAATATATCAACATTTTTGATGGAATTTTTTAATTTTTCATCGATTGAAAAAATAATATACAGGGTGTTTAATTAAAAAAACGAAGAAAAATTATTTTATATTTTAGAAGTTTGCCGTAATTTTGAACACCCTGTATGATTTACGATTTTCATATTTATCGCAAAGCAAAAACAGACCATCTAAAATAAATACCTAATATAGTTTCGATTTCAGGACAGATCTTTTTATTAATATCTCTGAAACAAATTTGCAATAACATACAGGGTGTTCCATCCAAAAATCATCCCAATCCACTCACACATTTTTGAGTCCCCTCACCCTATAGCCACAGATTATACAGATTATAAACTTTGTTTTTTCTTAAGTTTGCGCACATAGCACGCCCACTTATGGCCTGTAAAATTGTGCACAGCGCCTACCCGGCACAGTTATTAGAGAGATATCGGAAAACCGAATAGCGTCATGCAGTATTTACGCGTACCTTATTATGGTTACGATATGCGCGAGTAAATTTTTAACGCAACACCCGCTAATAACGTTACCGCCTGACGTAATTTGCGGATCAATTACATCAATCGCTATTTCTAAATAACGTTTAAAAATTGCTTAAATGGGCATGTGTGGGTATTTGACAACCGGAGCCGGCCGGCGAGATCTTTTATTTTAGGTTATATTTGAATTGTTTTGAATTATTACTTTAGTTTTATTACGTAATTTGATATTTAAGTAGCTGGGATTAGTTTTAATTAAATAAATATGGCCCAAAATATGGATTCCACCTCTTCCAATATTAAAGAAGCTATAAAGAGACTTAGGTTTACAGCATATGACGACTTAGCCCTTCTAAGAGAATTTGTTGCTTGTTGCCCTAAACCCATTGGCAGACGTTGAACAATAAAGCACTGGAAATAAGCACTTTAGCCCTTTAGTTTTAAAATACCTAGTAAACAAAACAATTTCAAAGTTTTAAATTCAAAGTTAGGTTAAGTTTAAATAGCGGACGCGACGAACAGAATTCTTTCCGATCCGATAACTATAAATGAAGAGAGTTAATACCACCTCAGGTAAAGGAAATAACACCTGGCCTTATTAACGTCCATGCACGCTATTCGGTTTAGCGATATCTCTCTATTACGCTGTTTATTGTTATTTTACGCGAGTTTATTTTTGCGCACAGGAAATTTTACTCGTTTGCACATCGTCATAAAAAACAATTTTCGTACCATGATTAGGGACCAGATTTTTATCTGTATACTTATAGGATACCTAATCTGTGCTATAGTAGTTAAAATATTTTCCTGAAATACATCCTAATACATACTTTAGGTTTGCATTTAAACAAAATTCTCAAGTTTTTTATTGTAGGAGCTTCAAATGCCCGACACAATATTGCCGGACCCTGTATGAAATGGTATTTCTTAAACATTTAATATTATAAGTAGTTATAAAAAAACTGAACAAAATGTCGGCTTTAGCAATGGGACACATTATTTTCCTTTACGACCCATAAAATATTTTCACACAATTTCAAATTCGGAGACATGCTCCCACACTTTGGTATAAATCTTCTCCCCCTTTTTTAGTGTCGAAGGAAAGAACACTGAAAGAAAACATTTAAAGAAAAGCCCAATAGGGGGAAAGAAGAAAATTGCGACAGTGAAATATGTATAAGTCGTCTGGGAAATTTGTAAGTGTACGTTTGAATACATACATGCTATTCAACGATTGACTTTTAGAGTATAAGAATGATATTTATTTGAAATGGGGGAACATATATGAATGTATTTTTCGTTTTTTATATTGAAATGCGTTAAAAGCTTTATTTTTAGTTTTTATAGTAAGTCAGACGGACTCTGCAGGACAGTTTGGGCAATTTAACTGTGCATTTTTATGTTAAATTATTGTTTTTTAAGACTTTCTTAGTTTTTTTCTAAAATAATTATTTTTTATTTTTTGAAATCCCCAACAACTACTTCTCATTTCGCTTCCGAATTAATCTCCTTTATTTAGGTTTTTTACTATACCGGGTGCGTCTCGAAAGTGGCTCACTCTATAACTTTATTATTTTTTCAGATATAAAACGAGATTTGGTGTGTGTTATTATTATATATTGTAAATTAGGACTGAGTGACAAATTCAATAAAATTGTTTTTGGTCACTTCCTGTTACACCGGAAATGACTACAACTTTTGATTTTGAAATGGTGCCCTCGGTATTTTTTTACTTTATTTGATAGAAAAAGATAGTCTGAATAGAATGACAAATCATATGTCTATCTAATTTTTGACATTTTCACTTCGAAATTGTAAAATTCAAAAATCGTATTTTAAATTTCAATCTAGAATGTCCATAGCTGTGCTAAAAAAACTAATTTTTAGGAGCCTTGCAAGAATAATTTTGATCGTCTCTTATTTTTCATGTCATAGCTCCTGTCTGTCCTGTCCTGACAGGTTAAAAGATGCGCACATCCATAGATAAAAGAAAATAATCTACTATTAAGATAGATATGAAACTTAATAGTAAACTTTTGGGTCAAAGCGCCCCTCCGTGTTTTTAGTAGAGACTGCGTTTAACCCAGCGCCTTCGCCTTTTCTGCTGTAAATGTTTTTTATGTCTATATTAGAATTCAAAGGATTTATTTTTAAAGTTACACTGATATATTAATATATATGAGAGTAACTTTAATAAAACATAAGAATATATATATTTTGCGGTTTATTTTTTTATTTATTTTACGAGTTTCATATAAATGATCGTAAGTCGACTGGCTGTCTAATGAATAGACCGAGATTTATAGATTTTAAAGCGAACGAAAAAAAAAATCAAACAACGAATACATACCATATATTTTTCTTTTATCTAAGATACATACCTTATCGTCTTTTGGAAACACGTGCATTTTTGCAGTTTTGTTAGTTTCTTTGCAAGATGCAACACAACAAGAAAACACCATTTTTACAGTTAATAAATAATAGATATATTATAGATAGAATATTTCTGACTATGATATTTAAAATTTAGACAGATAGAAAATTCAAAAACAAACCGGTATTTGCAGACGCAGGCCCAAATTCAATAAAAATCAAAATTTTTCCTGCGAAAATCGGGCTTTTTTCACTGAAAGGGTATTTTTTGATTTATCAGCAATCATTGTCAAGTTGACAATATACAGGATATTTTCTAATTAGTCTAAAAAAATTGTGCTGTGATTCCTCATGTGTTCTTAAAACAATTTTTATATAACCATTAGGTCTAAAGTACTTCCTTTCTGATCTACAGGGTGTTAAAAATTAAAAAAAATCGATTTTTTTGCTTAGCATAAATGGTACACCAATGCTTTTTTAAAGAAAATATATTTTTTCTTGACTGGCCATCATTTTTCAACAAAATTGATCTTTTGAGTTTGGTTTGGTTCATCAAACGGTTGTCGAGAAAAAAATAAATATCCTTATTCAGAGCCCGCCTTAATCCGTTTTCTAATGATTTTTTATTTTTTAGATTAATTAGGAAACACCCTGTATCTGCATATCACAGCAAACCAAATAAACTAGTAACCTCTAAAAATTATTTTTCCTACCACTAGCGACATACCGTGTTTTTAGTATGTACTAAATTATTTTAACAAAATTTCACCATATAAGTTTCCAGGCAATGCCCACATCGTATTTTTTTTAAATGACTTTTGATTTGTAAATGACACCCTAGGTTTTTTTTTCTTTATTCGATAGGAAATGTCAACCCGAATAGAATGACATATGACATATATCAACTTTTGACATTTTCGCATCTGGTTTACTTAAAATTTAAAATTGCGGTTTTATTGAGATATGAATCATTAGGATATTTGGAAAAAGCATTTTTTACGAATAATTTGGTACCACACACTTGGTATTTCGAGTCGTTATGAACCGCATGTTAAAATTTTAAATAAAACATACGCGAAAATGTCAAAAGTTGACATGTAATATGTCATGCGATTTATTCAGAGTGAAATTTTCTATCGAATAAAGAAAAAAAATACCTGGGGTGCCATTTACAAACCAAACTTGTATTCATTTCCGGTGAAACAGGAAGTAGTAACCGAAAACTATTGAATACGTCAATGAATCCTAATTTATGTCATATACCTACTATCATACCAAATCTCGTTTTTTTATCTAAAAAAATAAAAAAGTTAAAAAGGTGAGCCACTTTTGAGACGCACCCGGTATTTTCCGAAAATAATTTAACGCAGTGTACTGCCTACTGAGTATTTCCAAAGGTGAACTAGAAACCTATAATTTACTTTGTATTTTTGTAGAATTACACTTATATTACACTTGAATCTGTGATTTCTAAATCTATTCTTATTTATTAAAAAAATTGTATTTAATATCCAGAATATCTACAAAATATCCAGTAATTTTTGTATAGCAATGGATGATACTGTAATTGTCATATACTATCATACCAAATCTCGTTTTTTTTATCTAAAAAAATAAAAAAGTTAAAAGGTGAGCCACTTTCGAGACGCACCCGGTATTTTCCGAAAATAATTTAACGCAATGTATAATATACTGACTACTGAGTATTTCCAAAGGTGAACTAGAAACCTATATAATTTACTTTTTATTTTTGTACAATTACACTTATATTACACTTGAATCTGTGATTTCTAAATCTATTCTTATTTATAAAAAAAAATTGTTTTTAATATCCAGAATATCTACAAAATATACAGTAATTTTTATATAGTAATGGATGATACTGTAATGGATTACAGTAATGGATTTACTACAAAGTTATAGACATTATTTTTAATTTATACTTTTATTTGAGATAATAATTTACACATTATTCATACATACGTTTTCATTTCTTTTTCACTATTAAATTAAATAAAATTTTAAAAAAAATAGTTTTGTGCCTAACGGTTTTTTCTTTGTTTGCAGACTGGTAGTACAATAATTACTACGATTGGTGGACTGGAACGACACTCAGCAAGTAGGGAGAACGTATCTTATATTCAGGTAAATATTAAAAAGAAATAAATTTTATTAGAAGCCAACGAAATTTATAAATTTTATAGAGCACTGTAAATTGGATCAATAAAATTTTAGTTCAAAATCCGAGTAGAGAGCGCGCCATAGGTTAAACAGGAAACTGCAATGCATAGAAATCGATTTTCTTGTCGTTGCTATACTGTTTAACAGATGGCGGGAAAGTTTGTTTTGAAGAATGTATATACAGTTGCCTGGCGTATGTTGACTATCAGTGTAATTTTTAAGAAACAAAGTCCGAAAAATTGGTTCTTAAAACTAATAGCAAACTGTTAAATATTTAAAATTAATTTATTATTACAAAGTAACTGTGTAGTCTTAATATTATTTTTAGTTGATAATAATTTGAGATACGTATAGGCTTGGTGCATTTCAACCCATTTTTAAAATTCCGACCGAAAGCAAGGCCCGGTTCGGCAATAATTCTTTTTTCAAGAAGAGGCATTAAATTTGGGGGTTTCCTTGCATATGTGCACTTATTGAGGGTCCATTAATGTCTCTGATTAATGTACAGGGTGGGTCAAATTCGACGCTTTTAAATGGAAACACCCTTTTCTATAGAAGATACAGAAAAACTAATATCGGTGTCTGGAGCTCAATTTTTGTCAAAAACATGATGGTGAAAACCGAATATCGATATCTGTTACCGTTTCGGAGTTACGGGGTGTTTTTCAAAAATATGCATTTTTAACAAATCGCTGTAACTTTTTTGCTATGGAAAATTTTGTATTTTTATGAAAACATTTCCAAAGCACCTTTTTACGTAGAATTTAATAGTTTAAGTATAATTTTTTTAAAATTAATAATTTAAGAATTATCAATAGAAAATTTGATTTTTTATATGGGACACCCTGTATATTTTTAATTTATTGAAAATAATTTAAAATTACCTTTCCAAAAATATAACACACTTGATATTTTGCTCGATTCCTCTTCGAGATATAGAGTATATAAAAATTCGCCCACTTTAAATAAGTAGGCTTTGAACGGCACCGGCTGTAATGCAAAAAAATTCTAGCTGTGAGCATCAATTAAAACGAAACTAATATTTGCTATGAGCAGGGCCTATTTTACCATAACCCCGGGCCTTGGGCCCGGTGGTCTGGTGGGCCCTTTAGGGGTTGAAAAATATTCATAATTTTTGAATTTTTTTTGGAAAACAGGGCCCGAATTTTTGCTTGGGCCTTAGGGCCCGACCAGATGAAAAATAGGCCCTGGCTATGAGAGACGAAGAATTTTATAACAATTTAAAATATATTTAACCAGCATCAACACATTTAGACTATATCTAATAACAATAAAAATAAATAGCAAACCAAGACATGAGATTTTGCTACAGGTGTTCGACATATCGACCGTCTTGTGTTATGGACAGTCGGGGCAGTTTTTGAACATTTCTCCCGGAATTCATTAACTCAGTGGGGATGAAAGATACCCTCTCATAACGGCTAAGTAATTCTTGTCTAGATTATACGGAAGAATAAAGAACCTCTATTCTTCCGCATATATATCCATAGGATGAAATCCATGGGCACTAAATCAGGCGGCCTGGACGGCCAACGGCTGGGATCTTGGTTACCTATTGAATTATTCCTGAAATTGGCTGCAAAAATTTGCTGATAACTTCGGCGTTCAGAGGCGGCGCGTCGTCTTGCTGGAAAAAATATGTTTTCGAGTTCCATTAAAAAAAAAGGGCATATTATCATCAATAAGGAGTCCAAAGCCTACTAAGTTAAAAGTGGCGAACTTTTAAAAATTCTGTATTTCGAAGGGGATTATAACAAAATATGGTGTCCCAAATAAAAAATCATTTTTTCTTTTGAAAAACACCCCGTAACTCCAACAACGGTAACATATGAATGTGCGGTTTTCACCATCATGTTTTTGGTGAAAATTGAGCTCCAGATACCGATATTAGTTTTCGTCTATCTCTTATAGAAAAGGGTGTTTCCATTTAAAAGCGTCGAATTTGACCCACCCTGTACACTATGCAAAGAAACGTAACGAAAAATTTTTCGTGAAATTTAAAATGCCACATTTTTTATTTTTAGCCCTATTTTCTTATTTTGTTTAGCAAACTGTATATAAATATATTTACTTTAATTGGTAAACTCAGTTTTTTATAAACTTTTGTATTTGGCTTATTATACAGGGTTAATCGAAGGGTTGTATTTTTCAAAAAACTTTAAAAGACCCTGTATATTAATTTCGTGAGAAGAACACGTTGCGTTTTTTTAACTGAGTGTCAATAAGATCCGGAGGATTTCAAATCTTAAGTCATTATCAGTACTAACATTACTAAAGCTGTTTCATATACAGAGTGTTTCAAAAAACATGTGCCATCTCTCAATATGAAAAATAAAATTTATTTTTCATCTCAAGATAGGTCCGATTCTGCTTTGTTTCGTAACTACAGGGTGTTAAAATCTTAATAATTTTTCGATTAATTATAATTTTCTTCCAAGTGCTTTTAGTGATTCAAATGAGAGTTTGAGGGTAAAACTTGTGCACACTTTTAGCATTAAAAAAGTGCTACATATTTCAATGCTTAAAAAGTGTCGATAAATTCATCAGGGACGTGCGTATGGGTTATCACTGGAACATTTTTTTTATAAAAAACATGTGCGCCGCTGGCTATTTTTTTTGATATCAAAATTGTGTACGCCGTTTAATGCCAATTGCTTAATGGTAAATGCTCTTTGATGAGATAAACGCAATTTTATTAATCACAATTAATAAAATTGAAATAAAAATTAAAACTTAACTGAACTAAAAATTAAAACACAATTAATAAAATTGAAATAAAAAAAAGTTGGATCAAGGCAAATTAATAAAATTGCATTTATCTCATTAGGGAGGCCGAAATCGACAAAATATCAAGAGACAACTTTTAATCGGTATTAAACTGCCTACACTATTTCGCTAACAATAGAAAAAAAGTAAGTGGTGTACATGCTTTTTTTAGAAAAATATTCCAGTAATAACTAATATGTACGTCCCTGGTGTATATGTCTACACTTTTTTAGCTTTAAAATATGTCGCATTTGTAGTAAGTTTTACCCTCAAAATTTCATTAAAATCAAAAAAATATTAAGACTCTAACACTCTGTAGCTACGAAACAAAGCACAATCGGACCCATGTTGATATGAGAAATAAGTCTTATTTTTACGTGAGGAATCTCCCAACGAGACATGGCACATTTTTTTTGAAACACCCTAATATTTTAATTTAAGGGAATCAGTAACGAAATATAGAAGATTGAACGGAAGTAAAACATTTAAACAGTTTTTACAACTAAAAAACATCCAATATAGAATTAGAAAACATTTTTAATAAACGGCCCAAGCAGCATTTGGACGTCGGGACAACGTTGTGTCACGCGACCAAACGTCGGGGCGCAACCCTAGTCCGCACTAGTTTGGAGAATAATTTCTGGGTCGAAACGACGTTGGATACCTACGTTGGCTAACAGCCTAATTTAGTACAAACTGCAACGTTGTTTAAAATCCTAATTCACAGAAATACAAAACTATAATAATATGGCGTCTAAGTCGCGTTTTATCCTAAATTGGGATAATTATAGTAAAAATATTATTTTTATGATTTAGTTAGAGACATATGCCAGATGGCAGTAAAGGAAAACAAAACAAAAGTATTTAAGTGTGGAGGATGTTTGAAGATCATAAATATTGAAACACTTTAACCAACTCTGTAACTCGTTACACAAGGCAAAAAAGTTAAACCCAAACAACTTTAATGATAAATGTATTGTTTCTACTTTGAAAAATACTAATGGGCCTTAAAAAGGGAGTTTTAAAAAATTTCTTGAATTTTTTTTTTAGTAAAATGAGAATAATTTATTCGCAGTCGAAAAAAAATTCCGCGTGTTGTTTAGGGTCAAATATTTCAAGTTAATGTATTAAAAAAGCAGGAATTGCTATTTTAGGAACGAAACATTTTCTTATTCAACAAGATGGCGGCTTTCACTTTGTGGTTTTGGAGATTAAGATCGAGTAGTTCGAGTAATCGCATACTGGACTAATAAAGTCGCAGTTCAGCCTTAACAGGTAGTATACTAGTCGCAAGATTGCCTAATTTAGTCATCCTAGAGTCTAGCTTGTGCCGCCCTCTATATTCTAAATAAACAAGAGAGTGGATAAAGTATGGGTAATATGTCGATGTATATTTAAATTTATTTATATGTGCCTTTCTTACGTCCCATTTTAATTACGTTTTTTTTTATAAAAACAAAAACAGCACTGAACTGTCTGAGTGAATAGAACAATAAAGTGAAAATTTAAGATTTAAGGTTATGGTTCAATACAGTTGCAAAAAGGTAGTGGCTCGACGCATCTCGACGTCCTACCAACGTACGAATAAGGAAATCTAAACAACGTTGGAATTAGTAAAACAGACGACGTTTGCATAACGTTGGAATAGGTCCTGAAAGTGACGTCGGAAAACTCTTTATTGCCCAACATTGTATCTACGTTGTCCGAATCACCTAAAGATCACTTACGCAAAAAAGGTTACAAGACAACGTTTATTCGACATCTCAGAAGCTTTTACTTTGTTGTAGTACTAGTTCAACGTCGGCACAACGTTACAACAACGTTTACATTTATTTTAATACCCAAGGTACAGAGCTAACTATTTTTTGTAACTAATCCAACGTTGTGTTTAGTAAAGATGTGGTCGCAAGTCGTGAAAATGCTACTTGGGGGACTGTATGAAAAAAACCCTCTATTCCTTCAGTATATCGAATTTTTCGTCCAATTTTCCAATTCCATTGCGTGTATTTACATCGCAATCCATCCCGGGGCACCTCTCTACCTTTCAATCGTCTCCCGCATCGTGCATCGGGACGCGTCGACACCATCACCTGCGACGACGAGACGCTTCAGTCCGACACGGGAGCGTCGCGACGTCTCCCATCGCTTTCCGCCGGTCGGTGTCCCGGAAACGCGAG